GGTTACCGAGATGAATCGAGTCGCTAAATTACACCAGACCAAGCACAATACTCGTTCTCCCACCTCCAAGAGGGAAGTGAGAGTGGAGGTAAAGAACGAGTAAAAACTACCCTCACAAGATCATGAAAAATTACAATCGGTTTTCCCGTTTCTTGAAAATATCCGGGTTACGAACCCGTAGGTAGACACACGAGAGGAAGGTGGTTTTTGCGGGAACCGCGCCCCGACCGGTGAATTTGAGCGTGGCGTGGCGTGGTGCTGGTTTGCGTCGCCAAGTCCGCCAGCCGCATTGTTTATTTCTCACGTTTAGTAGGGTGGGCAGTTGTCTCTCCGCCACCCCAAGCCTCTCCCCGCCCGACAGGAATTAGGTCGGTCGTATATCAGGTGCGCGAATGGCACGAGACGGCGGCGGCGTTCAAATCCTACGACTATGTGTGCTAAGACCTGGGTTCAAACCATACCCGTTGTCTGACCCCGCACGCTTTTTATTTCCATGTCTGAAACTCTTGCTGTTGCTGACCCCTCCATGTATACAACCCTTGACTCCTCATAAACGCAAGAGCGTGCAATGAAGTACTAGTGCTGCTGCTGAGCGGCGTGCCAAATCAATCGGCGGCCACACAATCGGAATCGACAAATGGAGATCAATGGCGATACGCTAAGTGGTGGCACCCGATCCCCGCATCAACGTGAACTGACCCGCGAGCGATCTGTGCCACTGCGGCAATCGTTGCAAATTTGAGACAAACCGTTATTTAAATTTGAGGTTTTAATCAGCAGAAACTCGAGTTTTAGAATAATGATTAAGAAACTGAAATAATTTGAGAATCTGTCTGAATGTTACCCCAAGATCGATTTTATGAGACTTCATAGCGTACACTATTTGATACACAAACATTTTAAAAAGACCACTACAATCGACCACAAACGTGTGGTTTTTGAATGTTAACTCACCGACCAGCTTGGACCAACCCGCGGGCGGGCGCCACTCGGGGTACTGCTTGGGGAACAGCTCTCTGCTCCAGTGCGTGTCCAGGAACACTCGGTAGACGGCGAGCTCGTCCGAGCTGCACGACGACGCGGCCGCCGCCGTCGCCAGCAGGGGCGTCGCCGCCAGCACCATCATGACCACCAGCATCGTCGCGACGTTGGGTTTGAGCGAAGAGGCACTGCTTTGGACCAGCCTGCCTCACCAGCTGCCGCGTTGTGTCTAGTCCGGCGTGGCGCGGCGCGGCGTGGCGGGCGTCGCGGCCGGTGCGTGCTTCGCGCCGTGCGGTGGGTCTGGCGGGGCGGGCTCGACTGGGCCGCGACCACGCCGACTGCGTGGAGCACCCGCGAGCACCCGCGAGCACCCGCGAGCACCCGCGAGCACCCGCGAGGAAGGGACGGGCACCCTCGCACCAGTCCAACCATCCGCCTGTAAGGCCCCCTCGAGCTGACCTGTACTCTTCTAGACCATACCCACCCTACCCTTAACCACTCTGGGGGAGGCCAAAGGAATAACCATGTATGGGCCTGCTGGCGTAAGATTGCTTCAAAGAGCCACCCCTGATTTATGTGTCTTGGGGTTGGTGCGGTTTCCAACTAGCATTGGAATTCACCTAAGGTATTTCATCCCTTCACAGTCTGTAAAAGGGGGCGACGATGGGGGTTGGGCACTTGGGCATTTGTGCGCGGGTGTGTCGTGCTTGGCAGGGTGCCGGCGGGGAGGGGGTACGCAGGCTCCACAGCGTTGGGGCGGGGTGAAGCGGGGAGCGGAGGCGCGAGTGTCTCAAGTGCATTGTCACCGGATTAAGCCGGCCCACCGTGCTCTTGGCCTCCGCGAATGAAAGCAATGCCGCCGCATCTATTTGGGAAACGAATCTGAATTCCGACGGGAGGAAGTGCAGAATAGCCAGGCACCAGCCTCGACTGGTGCGGCGGCCGTGCTCGTCCCAGGGGGTGTGACTGTGGCGTCACACCCGTCACCACTCGTCCCCGCCCCGCCCCCCGCAAGCCGATAGCACTCGGTGCCACCGCTCGCCCGACCTTGACCATGCCGACGCGTGGCGTGTCTCCTTATCTCTGGAACACGCCGACACGCCCTCCCGCCCCACGCTGTCTCATCACGTCACAGACAGAAGCCTTTCGTCCAACCATCCCGACCATAACTCACGACCCATCCCGTTTCCGCCTTCATTTTCGACGGTGTTGCGCCGGCCGGGACGCACCGCCACACCTCGGGCCGCGGCGAGTGGGTGCAGCGCGGCGCAGCGCAGCGCAGAGGGAAGCCCGCGGAGGCTTGGCTGGACCCGCGTAACTTGCGCCCGCCTCCCATGCAGTTCCGTTTGCTCCGCCGGGGCCCGCGCCCGCTGGGGCCGTGTGTGCGTCCCACTTTGTCGGGCTTTTAAGCTTCTTTATCGACCTGTTGCTGCCGTTGTTGTTGCAGTCTAGTAAAGTCTTTGGTCTGTTGCTGAGCGGGCGACGGCCCGCCTGCTCGTCCAGGCCATGCCGCCAGCCCCCTCGCCTCGCGAGCCACCTCCGTCTGGACGTCGAGGCGCCCCCCGTGAGGTGGACAACCAGGCCACCAAGCCTGGTGCTGAAACACGACTGGGACATGGAAACCGAGACGGATTCTACTGACATGCAAAAAGATAGACCGCGCAGACAGAAAGAGAAGGGGTGTGGACGCTACGTTGGAACTGTTCCAAAGTCCTGTTCCACTCACTACTTGTTCATACCGATCTGGAGCCGTGACTCATTCTGTGAATCCGACCGTGTTGATATGAAGAAGTGCGCTCTCGCAACAACATAGCGCAGACTCCTCGTTTTGTTTCCGACATGCAGATCATCGCCATCTCCTGAATCTGCGAATGCACTCTACTTTCGGCGAGGAATGCCGGCCCCACGTAAAGCACGCGCCCGAGCTATGTTTGGACTGTGAGGTGAGGTATCGGCTACCGTCCAAGTTTTTTACTCGCATGCACATTTCCGTTGATGTGTTACAGCCCTATTCGTATCAAGACAATTACAACTGCCATGATAAGTTTTACATGATTGACAAGTGTGTTGTGTTATTTCTTAGAAGTGCGTGTCGGTCAGTCATGTAGTTCTAAGGATTCGGCTTCGACTGCACCCCTCCCCCTCTCTCTCCTACT